TAAGATACAGAACAGTAGGATATAAAACTCTATTTCATTTCATTAGTTCAATAAGATACAGAACAGTAGGATATAAAACTCTATTTCATTTCATTAGTCCAATAAGATACAGAACAGTAGGATAAAAAACTCTATTTCATTTCATTAGTTTAATAAGATACAGAACAGTAGGATAAAAAACTCTATTTCATTTCATTAGTCCAATAAGATACAGAACAGTAGGATAAAAAACTCTATTTCATTTCATTAGTTTAATAAGATACAGGAAAGTAGGATATAAAACTACATTTCATTTCATTAGTTCAATGAGGTACAGAACAGTAGGATATATAACTCTATTTCATTTCATTAGTTTAATAAGATACAGAACAGTAGGATATATAACTACATTTCATTTCATTAGTTCAATGAGGTACAGAACAGTAGGATATAAAACTCTATTTCATTTCATTAGTTCAATAAGATACAGAACAGTAGGATATAAAACTCTATTTCATTTCATTAGTTCAATAAGATACAGAACAGTAGGATATAAAACTCTATTTCATTTCATTAGTCGAATAAGGTACAGAACAGTAGGATATAAAACTCTATTTTATTTCATTAGTCCAATAAGATACAGAACAGTAGGATATATAACTCTATTTCATTTCATTAGTTCAATAAGATACAGAACAGTAGGATATAAAACTCTATTTCATTTCATTAGTTTAATAAGATACAGAACAGTAGGATATAAAACTCTATTTTATTTCATTAGTCCAATGAGATACAGAACAGTAGGATATAAAACTCTATTTTATTTCATTAGTTTAATAAGATACAGAACAGTAGGATATATAACTCTATTTCATTTCATTAGTTCAATGAGGTACAGAACAGCAGAATGTAAAACTCAATTTCAGTTCCGACAACTGTTACACCATTCCGTTTCACCATTCTATACATCCATTAAATAATCAGTGATAAATATAATTATGCTAATGAGATGTAAATTTATGTAAATATAATTATATTTATGAATATTTACAAATGTTGATGAATAAATAATCTAATTATTTATTTATGGACTCTTCAATTTGAATATGTTTACCATTCGCACTCTGTATCCTCTTGATATGCAAATTTTATTGCCCGTCTAAATTTGACCTCATTGCAAACAGCAGGGAGATGCAGTCTTCAATAGAAGATATTGATTTAAAAAGATTTTATTGAATGAAAAGGTGAAGGTCTGTAAACAAATAGAAAAGGTCCTGTTGCCTCATCTTCACAATGTCAAGCTATTACCAACCCTCATCTTCACAATGTCAAGCTATTACCAACTTCATCTTCACAATGTCAAGCTATTACCAACCCTCATCTTCACAATGTCAAGCTATTACCAACCCTCATCTTCACAATGTCAAGCTATTACCAACCCTCATCTTCACAATGTCAAGCTATTACCAACTCATCTTCACAATGTCAAGCTATTACAAACTACATCTTCACAATGTCAAGCTATTACAAACTACATCTTCACAATGTCAAGATATTACAAAGTACATCTTCACAATGTCAAGCTATTACAAACTACATCTTCACAATGTCAAGCTATTACAAACTACATCTTCACAATGTCAAGCTATTACAGCCTACATCTTATACCTTGAGTGCGATAACCACCTTTCATGTAATAGAGAATTTGGTAAATGCTGTGATTTAATTGGATTGTACGCTAGGGAATGCAACCAATCAGAGACCTTGACAAAAAGTGTGAAAACACTAAGGCATAATGTTCACAGCCTTTCTATCGAAGACTCTGATTGGTTGTATTCACTGGCGTATCAAATCAAACCGGTGCATTCCGTGATACAAGAAAGGTTGCTAATGCAGTCAAGGTATTAGACGTAGTTCGTAATACCTTGACATTGTGAAGAAGAACAGAAGCTAGACTCTTGAGGATCCTTTCTACCAGCTGGTTCAAGGCCGAACCTCAGCTAAGCCTCAGCTAAGCCTCAGCCAAGTCTCTTGGATTAACTTTGGTCTATCTCTTTACACATAATTGAATAAATGCTGAAAAAATCTTAATATTTTATATTTATATGAGTTTGTTGTCCTATCTATACAGAATATAAAATTTAAAGACCAGACTACTGGTGTATTTCTGTTCTGTTTCCATATTGCCTGTAACATTTAGCTTTTTATAGAAAACCTTGCCCAAGGCCAAGTTATTTAAGATGTTACATTTGAAAACAATATGTTAATACACGATGCAATTCAAATAGATTAAAGGTACTAGTCCATTTAGCCATTTAAAGTATACAATTTAAAAACCTTAAGGCCAGGGATCTGGAGCTGCCAATCAGAAGCCAGCGGTCTTCAGATGGTCTGAGATTAATTTGGAACCTTTAGAGGGCTCGATTTTCACTTCAAAATAAGAATTATCAAAGGCCCGAGGTGGAGACTCAATGGACTGGCCTGTAAATACACTGGGCACTACTGCACTTCATCCGTGGAATTAAAGTTAAGTGGGAAACCATCTTTAAGTACAGATTATGAGCCGAACCATTAAGTAATATTTATCTAATAATCTTGTTTATATAATCTAATTAAAGAGAAGAGTAAAATTTTAAATTGAGTTGTTACAGAAATTCTCTAGGATAGTTTATAGTAATAATACTAGCAGTAATTTACCTAGCAATGTCTCAACTGAGTTCAGATATTTGATAATAATGTTGTTCTAGACAAATCATGCTTCAAATTGCTTGTAATTTGGTTAAATATTGAGAAATATCAGTTCCATTTGGAGAATTTATTCCATTGGGAAAACACAATGATTCGGACAATTAACAAATAGTTAGATAGACTGCAAAATGATTTTTTATTGTTGATGAAATCAATAACAAATTGATATTCAGATATATTTATTATGACAAAAGTAATTAGCCTACTGAATAAAAATATATCGCAATATGTTTTTTATTTCTTCAAATTTTCAATATTTCCTGATTAGGGATCCCTTGTGGAAGAGATTACTACTTGTTAACTTGTTACAGCGGAGAAATGTAACTTTGACATATAATTGATCATGAAATTCAACAATCTATGATCAAGATTATAAATACCTAGTGTTGGGTGTTAAAGAAGCACTGGCCAAGGTCACAAGAAGAGAACAGTGATTATTTTGATCGTTTTACCAGGAACTGATTGCAATGTATTTTTTTTTCTTCAAATTTTCAATGAACAATGTCATTCATAACTGAATAGCTTACAACATTCAGTGACGTTTGTGAGAAGAAAGAAACATTATATTAAAGTTAGTTTATAATTCCTTTGAAGTGGGTTTTCCTGGACAATAAAACACCATGTAATTTAAAGAATTTGAAAGTACAATAGTCTGGTTTATCATGAATGAAATAATATATATTTGTGATTTATTTAAAGGAATACTACCTCTTAGAATAAACATAAAATACAAAGACTCAAACTTGGCAATAAGAGTATGTATTTAATCAGTATAGCTACCTGTCAAACAGAATCCTTGTATTTGACGATAAATCCATTACCTGTATTCTTATGGAGAATTATTAAGCTTCATGGATTTATTGGATTATACAGGGATTCTGTTGTATAATTATGACACCAGGCAAGACCACAGATAAAGACTCATTTTGGCCAAGTTAGAGAATTTGAATTTTTTGGACATTCTAAGAGGAAGTATAACTTTAAAATGTAAAATAATAGAGTGGCTGTTTGCGTCACCAAGATTTATAGGAACTGGTAGCCATTGTTATGTTAATCAGAAAACATTATCAGTTGTTTGTTGTACAATGTGGAACAATGTTGTATGGAAGTTATATTCTAGTGTACCCTTTATATCTCACACTTTCCTATAACTTAATATCTTAATACCTTATTGTCCTTCAGTGTTCAATATCATACTGACGTCACGTTTCTAGGTCAAACTTTACAATTAGGTCAAATCTTAAAGGGACGTCCCCCAGGTATTAAAGGTAAGGGGTAAAGCGTAAAATTTGTAGTTGATTTCTCACTCATATTTATGATTTGTTATAATATTTTGTGTTATCTACATACTTCAGATATTCTTTAACACTGATGTAACTTTGAATGCATTCATTGAGTTTGAAGATGGTGATATTTCAATAAACTTTATTTGAGTTATGGCCCTTGAATTGATGAATTCGGCTTGTAAGTACATGAGAAGCAACAGCTTATATTTTCCAGAGATCTCCAAACAAATTTAGTGATTGTAACATGAATGGTTTATGAGTTATTGCCCTTGATTAAGTAAAAAAACATTAGATATAATAACCTTGACAAGAGAGCTATCTTGAGATATAAAAACTAGGTCAGAGAAAAAGAGGGTCAATATTAAAAGTGTTATAAGTGGTTTATTATAAAGTTTCTATGCTATATAAGGGTACAATAAAACTAGAGGGTAGGAACTATAAAGAAAGATATGTATATTAGTTGAGAAATTAAACACTAGAAGATTTTGATATGAGATAATGAATGTTTGAAGTAGAGAGAGGAACATAAACTATCATATTTTTTTATTTTATATTTATTACAAGGGCAAATCTTTTTATCATGTAAATGTATATACTGTACTAGTCTAAAAGTGGAACAGCTCCACTGAAACCTTGTGTCACAAACAGGAGCAGCCCCTCTGACTTGTATCACTGATAGGGCAGCCCCTTTGTCTTGTATCACTGACAGGGAGCAGCCCCTCTGACTTGTATCACTGATAGGGCAGCCCCTTTGTCTTGTATCACTGACAGGGAGCAGCCCCTCTGACTTATATCACTAACAGAGGTAGCCCCTCTGACTTGCATCACTGATAGGGGTAGCCCCTCTGACTTGTATCACGGACAGGGGCTGCCCCTCTGACTTGTATCACTGACAGGGGTAGCCCCTCTGACTTGTATCACTGACAGGGGAGCAGCCTCTTTGACTTGTATCACTGACAGGGGAGGAGCCCCTCTGACTTGTATCACTGACAGGGAGTAGTCCCTCTGACTTGTATCACTAGCAAGGGAGCAGCCCCTCTGACTTGTATCACTAGCAAGGGAGCAGCCCCTCAGACTTGTATCACTAGCAAGGGAGCAGCCCCCCTGACTTATATCACTAGCAAGGGAGCAGTCCCTCAGACTTGTATCACTAGCAAGGGAGAAGCCCCTCTGACTTGTATCACTGACAGGGGAGGAGCCCCTCTGACTTGTATCACTGAAAGGGGAGGAGCTCATCTGACTTGTATCACTGACAGGGGAGGAGCTCCTCTGACTTGTATCACTGACAGGGGAGCAGCCCCTCTGACTTGTATCACTGACAGGGGAGGAGCCCCTCTGACTTGTATCACTGACAAGGAGAACCCCTTCTGACTTGTATCGCTGACAGGGGAGCAGCCCCTCTGACTTGTATCACTGACAGGAGGAGCCCTTTGACTTACATCACTGATAAGGGGCAGCCATCATTATTATATCATTGACAAAGGAATGGAAAGTGAGGTTCACGTACTAGGAAATACTTGAGTTCAGTTTTTAAATTTTATCTGAAGATTTCCTCATTTTTGTAGGACAGATATTTAATGAATAAAGAATATGAATTATGTAACAGACTATGAGGAAGTAATGACATAGTCTACAACAGAGAAAAGGATTATGTAAAAGATAGACATGTACTTGCACTCTGTACACTACACGCGTGGAAAATCCTTTTCTTCCTCTCAATTATATCAAATAATGTAACATTTCAATGACAAATTGTACCCTGAGTTAACATTGATGGTCTCTTACTTGATACAACCTTATAAATGACAATTAGAAATTGCCAGTTCCCTCAATTTTCATGATTGCTCTGTCTGATTACGTACAATGGCTAACAAACTGTCTATTTATGATGATGTGGAATTTGTCTTATGTTTTTCAACTTTTTGTGATGTTTTAGTGAAAGAGTGTTAAAGAGTAATAAACCATCACAAAGGTTAAGATTTGTGGTCATACATGAGGTAAAAATTCTAATCTTTTTGTTGACATTTGAAAATAGCAAACAAACAAACTATTCATGATAATAACCACAGTAGACCTCCACTGGTCTTTACTGAGTGAAGTGTTCCCTGCCCTTCTGGAAAACCTGCTGCCACTCAGAGACTAAGTTTATCAACTTGGCATTCTAAACCCTGAGTCCACTCTGCATTCACCCATTTTTTTCAGATTGCCAACAGTTAAAATATCACAGCCTGTAGCACAGTGGTCCACTGTTGTACTATTGTCTGTTAATAGAAACACCAGACATCGCCTAACACTGGGTTATATTCTAGAGTGGTCCACTGTTGTAGTATTGACTGTATATAGAAACATCAGACATCACCTAACTCTGGGTTATATTCTATAGTGGTCCACTGTTGTATTATTGACTGTATATAGAAACATCAGACATCACCTAACTCTGGGTTAATTTCTTGAAGGTGGTCCACTGTTGTATTATTGCCTGTACATGTATATAGAAACACCAGACATCACCTAACTCTGGGTTATATTCTAGAGAGTGACCCACTGTTGTACTAGTGTCTGTTTATAGAAACAACATACATCACCTAACTCTAGCTGGTGGTCCACTGTTGTACTTTTGCCAACATACAGATTTTTCCTTCACTGATTTGTACTAGTCTGTTTTCTCAGTGTGAATGTAAACAAAACTTGTCCTTGTATTGAGTGGTCGAGATCCAGGCCAGTAGGACTGTTCTGATAATGGGCTAAGTGCTCTCAGTGGTTTAAGAATAGTTGCGTCACTATGAAATTAAAGATTTTAATAATATTTATTTAAAATATTATAAATGGTAAATCTAGGGTATGACAGATTTGCCCTGCTTGCCTCTTTTAGCATTGAACTTGAACATGAGAAGTTGACTGACAATCTAATGCTGTATTTCATCCATTTAATGTAGCTTTGATAAAAAGAATTCAAAAAATATTTAAATAAAAAGATAGTTAAATAGTTAAGACAGCAATAATTCAACTTGATACACATCCGGCTGCAATGACTTTACATTGCCTAATTGAATAGACAGACCCTTAGGAATTTTAGTTTGTAACATTGCGGTTAAGCAATGTACCGCAATGTTACGAAAACACAGGCACAGGCATGTAGGTTAGGTTGTAACATTGCGGTTAAGCAATGTACCGCAATGTTACGAAAACACAGGCACAGGCATGTAGGTCAGGTTGTAACATTGCGGTTAAGCAATGTACCGCAATGTTACGAAAACACAGGCACAGGCATGTAGGTTAGGTTGTAACATTGCGGTTAAGCAATGTACCGCAATGTTACGAAAACACAGGCACAGGCATGTAGGTTAGGTTGTAACATTGCGGTCAAGCAATGTACCGCAATGTTACGAAAACACAGGCACAGGCATGCAGGTTAGGTTGTAACATTGCGGTTAAGCATTGTAGGGTTACTTTTTGTAGCTGTATGCCACCTTATAACCCAACTCATGTCAAAAGGTTATGATGGTTGTATGTTTGTATGAGAATATTGGAGTTTTTACTGAATATGTTTTCTGATGACTTACTATTACAGCACTAGGGTACCTAATCATAGACAGACAATGTTCAATCAAACCTGGTAGTTTCTTTATCACATATTGCTTTGTTGATGCCAATCTTCAGTGTGGTCATAGTTGTTTTGTCTTTTTGTGAAGTGGGATATTTAAGCAGCGGTTTTTAGGCCAAATTTGTTTCAAACCAAACCTTTCCTTACCAATTGGCAGCATGGTCAAACCACCAACCACTATGTTCTTTATCAATTCCTAAACACAGGCTCGTACTGGTTGATAAAAGGTAATCTTATCAATATTACAGAATCAACGTACGTAACAGAGATGTAATTTAAGATCAGTGACGTAGGATGGTAGATATCCTATCTGTTAGACAGCTGTTTCAATATCCTCTACCCCCTTCCTTCTCAGAATCAGATGGGTGGGGAAGTGTATGTAGAATGGTCAGAGATTCTGTTGTTTTGGGAATATAGTTTGGTGGGTTTGGAACACTAAATTTCACCCGGCATGGAGTCGCCCGTCTTAAGCAGCCCACATGGTGCAAACAAATTGGATGTAAAACTCCATTCATTTCATTTCATATTGAAATGACAATATTTTAATGGTGACCTTCAACTTGCAATTGACACATTGCTAGGGGCAACCTAAATATCTCCATTATAAGCTATATCTATCCCATTAACAGGCTCTTTAAAATCAGATTGAGTACAAATTACCATTTTATTATGCAAGCTTTCTTTGATCTAGATTTGGCCCTAAGTTTTTAGGTTAATGATCAGGTATTTGGTATATTTTATCAGTGAAATGGACAGGGATGTTGAGTTTGTTGAAATGCAGTCGGTCACTGATTAGAGTGCTTGTCTGTTTGATCTGATTGTATTTACCAGTCATGTCTGACTACAGCTCTAGACTGTTGATTTGATTGTATTTACAAGTCATGTCCTACTAGAGCTCTAGACTGTTGATTTGATTGTATTTACCAGTCATGTCTGACTAAAGCTTTAGACTGTTGATTTGGTTGTATTTACCAGTCATGTCTGACTAGAGCTCTAGACTTTTGATTTGATTGTATTTACCAGTTATGTCTGACTACAGCTCTAGACTTTTGATTTGATTGTATTTACCAGTTATGTCTGACTAAAGCTTTAGACTGTTGATTTGACTGTATTTACCAGTCATGTCTGACTAGAGCTCTAGACTGTTGATTTGATTGTATTTACCAGTCATGTCCTGCTAGAGCTCTAGACTGTTGATTTGATTGTATTTACCAGTAATGTCTGACTATAGCTTTAGACTGTTGATTTGGTTGTATTTACCAGTCATGTCTGACTACAGCTCTAGACTGTTGATTTGATTGTATTTACCAGTCATGTCTGACTAAAGCTTTAGACTGTTGATTTGGTTGTATTTACCAGTCATGTCTGACTACAGCTCTAGACTTTTGATTTGATTGTATTTACCAGCCATGTCTGACTAGAGCTCTAGACTGTTGATTTGATTGTATTTACCAGTCATGTCCTACTAGAGCTCTAGACTGTTGATTTGATTGTATTTACCAGTCATGTCTGACTACAGCTCTAGACTGTTGATTTGATTGTATTTACCAGTCATGTCTGACTAGAGCTCTCGACTGTTGATTTGATTGTATTTTCCAGTCATGTCTGACTAGAGCTCTAGACGTTCGTGCAAATCTCCTTCCAGTAGTAAATCTTCATATTTCCTTTTTATTTTAGATTAAAAATTGAAAGAAAAATGCTAAAAAAAGCTACTCTATAAATCATTTGAAGTCTATAATTAAAAACTATAGAATATATATAAATATCTAGGTCAAATTTGATTGATTTTTCTAAAATCTGATTATCAGGTAACATATGTAAGTTTTGTTTATAGTTTTGTGTAAAATACAATAACTCTTAATTAATCCCTGAATTTACTTTCTCACATTTTATATGTGAATCTATAATATAGTCTTTTCACTTTATTTAGTGCTGTTTAGAAGTGAGTGCAATGTCAGAGATAACACGAGATCTACCTGTCTCCCATCTTCATAATATCAAGCTCTTACAAACTTTGTCTTATACCTTGACTGCAATAGTCACATTTCACAGATGTTTATAAATACTGCAAATTTGATTAGATTGTGCGCTAGTCAATACAACCAATCAGAGGCTTCGACAGAAAGTCGGTATAAAATACAATCATCTAGGTATGAAATAACAAAAGCTATAATTAATATTAGATACCTGAACATACATAGAAAGGTCCCTAACAATCAATCTAGTTATGAAACAACAAAACCTATAATTAATATTAGATACCTGAACATACATAGAAAGGCCCCTAACTATCAATCTAGGTATGAAACAACAAAACCTATAATTAATATGAGGTATCTCTCTATTAATCCAACATCTGTGAACACTATTAATTAGTCTGTCAGTCTATTCCATTATCACTAAATTAAATAGGTTTTAGTCAATCATAAAACAATTTACCACCCTTTAGTTTTATAAATGAAATGAAATGAAATGGAGTTTTACATCCTACTTTTCTGCACCTGATAGGTTAATGTGAAATGTGCAATGAGGGAAATTTTGACAGTTCAATGGAATTACCCTCCTCTTTACAGCCTGTAGAAAAAGAGGCCTCAGTTTTTGGTCCAATCAGCGCCACTAAGCACTTTTTCTACATTAGTCCATCTTACGTGCATCACTGACAAGGGGAAACCAGAGTTGAAAAATCTGAAGATATCTCGACCTATACTGGCATTAAACCCTAGACCTGCACGTTAGCGAGCAAGTG